CTATTGTGATAACCACTTTCGATTTCCATGCGCTGCGCGCGGAACGTTTGAACTTAGTTAAGTTCAAGTTTTCGCTTCAAATTGGCCGTCGGGGTGAATGCCGTGTGTAGGCTGAAATCTTGGACGGATTGAAACGTCTTCTCAAGTACCTTACTGAGAAGCAACACACATTTTTTTACTGGTGATACCAAAACTGGACGTCTGTTCAAGGTTGTCTTGAAAGGTCTTCCCAGTGGTGAATCCCTGAATCAGATCAAAGATGAACTGACAAAGTTTCTTGGAGTTGAGCCTGTCCAAGTAATCAAAATGAAAGTGAAATCCCATCCTGGCGATTCACGCAACGGGATTTCTAATGATTTTTATTTAGTTCACTTCAAGTCTAGTGACCATAAGGTAAAATTTACTTTGATGCATTTTTTAAAAATTCTAAAGCAGTTTTTTTCGACGCATTATTCTAGATTGCAAAAAGCTCGCGTCATTTTGTGTAAAATATCAAAAGGAATCGAAATGTGCGAGCTTTTTGCAATCTGAAATAATGCGACGGAAAAAACGCTTTTGAAATTTTCCAAAAAGCATCAAAGTAAATTGAACCTTACGGCATTAGAAAAAGCTAGCCTTATGCTTCATGTCCGAGTGAAGTGGGAACACTACAGGAAGACTGGAGGAAATTTTCAAAACCTCACCCAGTGCCGTAAGTGCCGGGGATTGGGTCATGGAACCAAAAAATGCTACATTCCTGCTAAATGCATGAATTGTGGTAATTCCTCTCACGCAAAGGACGAACGTCCTGTGAAAGATGATCCTAATAAATTTAAATGTTCAAATTGTGGTGAAAACCACAAATACAATTTTAGGGAAATGTAAGGCTTCAAAGCGATCCTATAATCTCGTTCTAAGTGACTGGTAGGAAACGCTCCACGTTCCCGACCAGGTACAAATTCCTCTACTGTTAACAACGGTCAGCGAGGAACAATTTCTACATTCGTACCCGTAGGTACAAATATCACCCCTGCTTCAAAATTAACAGGCTAACTCACCAACACACTCACATAAGCAAGCAAAGCAGCAACTGCTTCAAAATGAGCACAGATGAGTGTCGGGATTGTCAGGAATGACCAGATCGGTGATGGATCACAACAGAAGACGAGATTCACCAGTTGATTTTTACTTCTTTCGTCAACTTGATGGATGGTCATGGAGAGAGCTTCGACGAGCACATTGATAGGAATGTACAAAGCGTTACTACCATCAGCTGTTTGATGATGGTGATTGTTATAGGTCGCAACTCTGCTGCTAACATTGTTCAGCGAGTAAATGGAGCTACCTATGCTGCTATTGCACCGGGTAGAAATCAAAATACTAACCAACTTAATTCTAACGGAAAGTTTGATAATTTTGACTTAGGAAGCATTACTGCTCCAAAAATGGAATTTTTACAGAACTCATTAATTGACATGGTTATTGATGTATTTAAAACTTACTCCATGTCACGGAGTAAAATTTGCGAACCATATCGTCATGACTTTGAAGTATAGTAATGGGTTTGAGAACATTAAATATTTTGAATTGGAATGCCCGATCACTTAAAGATAATGAAAACAAGCTATTTAACTTTTTGAGAGTTCATAACGTGTATATTGCATATTGAAACGTTTCTTAAACCTGACCATTTGGTTAAAAGGGACGCAAATTATCCATTTATCGAAATAATCGTCTTGATGGAGTCTGTGGTGGCGTTACTTTCATTGTTCAAAGAGAAATTATTTTTTTCGCAAGGATGACCTTCAGATACTTACCCATCATAGGTCTAAATTCTTCGTTATTGGTGATTTTAATGCAAAACACTGCTCATGGAATAATTCTCTAAGCAATTCCAATGGTAATATTCTGTTTGATGATTATTCTGCAGGTTCACTATTCAATATCCAAACAGCCCAACATGCTTTTCTTCAGCAAGAAATTCCTCAACCATTGATTTGGTCTGAACTGATTCATGTCAACTTTGTAGCCAATTGGTTATCCATGCTGACTTCGATTCTGATCACCTTCCAGTAACTTTTGAAATATCCCAATAAATAATTTCTAATCCCAAAAGCTCTACTTTAAATTACCATAGAGCTAATTGGGAGCAATATCGAACATTTATGGAATATAACTTCGATCCAAACATTCCTTTGCAAACCAAAGATGAAATTAATTATGCTCTTGAATCTCTGACTACTTCTATAGTTGAAGCAAGAGCTACCTCAGTACCGAAATGCGAGGTTAAATTCGATTATTTTAGAATAGAGGATGATCTTCAGCTCTTGATCCGTCTAAAAAATGTCCGTAGGAGGCAATATCAAAGAACACGCGATCCTGTCATGAAAGTTATAGGACAAGATTTGCAAAAAACAAATAAAATAGCGATTCTCTGTCCTGAGGAACAAATAATGTTTCGAAATTAGACCCAAGTTCCAAACCCTTTTGGAGGCTCACAAAATTTTTGAAAAAAGCCTCAAAATCCTTTTCCAGCGCAGAAGGTAATAAACTTTTGATCACAAATTCGGAAAATGCTCAGAAACTTGCTAAGCAATTCAAGAGATCCCATAATTTCAGTTTGGGTCAGGTTGCTGAACATTTTCTCTCGGGAATTATTTTTGATAATTCCTGGGGACTGCTTTGGACGAATTAAGATCTATGACTAAAAAATATGAAAGCTACATGTGATGATGGCATTTTTTAATTCCTCATCAAAAAACTCTAAGGGAGTACCTTATCTTTCTTGGTAAAATTATTTAATAGATGTTTCCATTTGGCATACTTTCCTGATAAATGGAAAAATGCAAAAGTTGTTCCAATTGTGAAGCCGGATAAAAATCCTGCTGAAGCTTCTAGCTACCGTCCAATAAGTTTGCTTTCTTCAATAAGTAAACTTTTTGAAAAGATAATTTTAAAAAGAATGATGCTTCACATCAAAATGAACTCAATTTTTGCAGATGAGCAGTTTGGATTTCGCCATGGGCATTCAACTACTCATCAACTCTTAAGAGTTACCAATTTAATTCGTTCAAACAAATCTATAGGCCACTCAACTGGAGTTGCTCTTCTAGACATAGAAAAAGCATTCGACAGTGTTTGGCATGAAGGTTTGATTGCTAAATTGAAAAAGTTTGATTTTCCACTTTATATTATGAAATTAGTTCAAAATTATTTAACTGACAGAACTCTGCAGGTAAATTATCAAAATTACAAATCTAATCGACTACCTGTTAGAGCAGGAGTACCTCAGGGTAGCATTCTTGGGCCTATATTGTATAACATTTTCACTTCGGACCTCCCTGATTTGCCTCAGGGTTGCCACAAATCTTTGTTCGCTGATGACACAGGCATTTCCGCTAAAGGAAGAAGTCTTCGTGTTATTTGCAGCAGACTGCAGAAAATTTTAGATATTTTCTCTTCTTATTTACAAAAATGTAAGATTTCTCCCAACGCTTCCAAAACTCAACTTATAATATTCCACAAAAGCCTAGAGCTTCCTTTTTGAAACCTAGTAGTAGTCACATAGTCACTATGAACGGAATTCCAATTTTCTGGTCAAACCAAGTGAAATATCTTGGATTAATGCTTGACCAAAAATTAACTTTTAAAGATCACATTGAGGGCATTCAAGCCAAATGTAGTAAATATATCGAATGTTTGTATCATCTTATAAACAAGAAATCCAAACTTTGCCTGACGAATAAACTTCTAATATTTAAACAAGTTTTTGGACCGGCCATGCTTTACGCTGTGCCAATATGGTCTAGTTGTTGCACTACCAGAAAAAAAGCACTTCAAAGAAGTTCAAATGCTGAGACTGTCCAACAATCCTGCAATTGTAGCGATTAATTCCCTTTATTGAATTATATGACTCTTCAATTGGAAATTTTAAATAATCTGGAACCCTGAATTTTATGAGGCTCAGTGTGGTGGTGAAAGCTTGTTCCACCCTTGGAAAAACATATATTCTGCCCCACGAGTGATGGGAGGTGACTCGCTGTCACTAGTGAGGTGACAAAAGTCTCCGCGAGTGAGGTGACTCTTCGTGCAAATCAAATGAAGAGTCACTTCACTCGCGGTGTCTATTGTCACCTCACTAGGGTCAGTGAGTCACCACACCTCACTCGTGGCACAGGATAGGCCTCATGAAAGGCACCTATTCCATAGTAGATTAAATGTAATTGTAATGAATTTCGTTCCAAATCTATTAGATTAAAACTGTTTAAGTTCGCCCTCCCCCCCTCCTTGGTAGGAGTTGTTTCCTCCACCCTCTCATTACTAGTTCAGAATGCTCAATTTGACATGGCCCAAGGGGTGATCCATTAAGTACAACACGCTCTCAGAGGGGAGTGGGGGTTTAAAATCCTGTCTTTGATTAGCAATGCAAGAGATTTAGGAGGAAAATGACCAAAGGCCGGGGAGACGTAATTAATGGATGCTCATAAATTTGTAATAAAAATTAGATGAATTTTATGAGTGTAGTGCTCCGGACTTAACTTTTTGTATGCTTTTGTGAAACCTGAAGAGATCTAACTTTTTTTTATGCAAAATGTAATAGTTAACTGTTGCACCATCATACTGTTGGATTCGAAATATAGACAAAGTTATCAACATGATACGCATAATTTCATGCCAAGGGATTGTTTTGACTTAGATGTTGACTAATTTGTTTGTTTTGATTAGCGCGTTGATCAAGGGAATTCCAAGCTCATGTTTATTAATGGTATATTATTTCAAGGTCACATATATATTTTTAATTTATTCACATACAGTCAATTCTGTTTATACGCGATTTTTTTTCGCCTTTAGTTATGATTGTGTAAACTCAGATTGCAACCAAATTTAATGCATCTTGATTTCAAAAATCACAAATAAAATCAAAGAAAAATATGGTGGTAGTAAAATTACTGAACCCATCCTGCATGAGGGCACATTCGAAAAAATAAAATCGCACAAAAATAGAACTGAGTGTAAAACAATAAACCCTAGGAAAGACGATTCACTGATCCAATTTTCGCACCTTCAGCCACAGCCCTCCAACCGGTGTCAACATCACATGCTTGGGTGAAAACCTGGGCGGAACCTCCAGGCGGACAGATTTCGAAAATTTAAAATTCATCAACAGCGTTGCCAGTCCGGTTTTCGTTTCCATCATCCCAAATCGAGTGGCAATGCAAGTCCTCGGTCCTTCGCCGAAGGGCATATACGTGAACGGTTTCCTGCTCTCACATTCTTCCGGGCTGAACCGGTTGGGATCAAACCGTTCCGGATCTGGAAAGAACTCTGCGTCGTGATGAATGCCGTACACTGGTACCCAGATGTTCATGCCTTTCGGAAGAATCACGTTTGAGTCCGGAACTTGGTAGTCTTGGGTGACGCTTCGGAACAGATTTGCGATTGGTGGATATTTGCGGAGGGCCTCTGAAAACGACAGTGAATGAAAACCACTTCCTGATTTGAGGTAAATTAACTCACCAAAAATACACTGCTCTAGGTATGGCATATCCATCAGAGCTTCGTAGTTAAGCCCACCATGTTTGGCAACGGCCTGTTGAACACATTCCCTCGCTCGGCTCTGAATCTCCTCATTCAACGCTAGCTCATACACGCAAAAGGACATGTTCGTACTGGAAGTCTCATATCCCCCCAAGAAGAACACGTACGCCTGTGCGACCACTTCATCCAGCGTCAACGTTCCCAGCTTCTCATCTGAACCTTCCAGTTCACCCTTTTCCTTCAATTGCATTAGCAAATTCATGAAATCATTCCGTTGAACACCACTTGCCTGCCGGAAATCGATAGTTTCCCGGACGATCTTGTAGAAAAATTCCGAAACATCTGCGGGAACTGCCTTGATGTGCAACTTTCTCGCCAACTCTTTAAACGTAGAGACGAAAAAATATGCGACAATCCGACTAGTTGGAACCTCGAATATCTTGTTGCCCATTTTGAGAAACTCGGCATCAGGATTCTCCAAACTGTTGCAGTCGATTCCGAAGGCACAGGTTCCAATCACATCGGTGGTGAACCGTGCCAGGAAGTCCCTCATTTCAATTTCCGTTTGCTGAACCAGACACTTCTCTACGGACGTTCGGAACCGATCGGCAATACCGAGGATCGTTGGACACATCATTTTCATCTTGCCGGACGAGAAGGTCGGAAGCAGCTTCCTGCGAAGATTGGTCCACTTGGATCCTTCGATGTTGAATAGATGGCACGTCAAGGGATCGTCTTTTTCGTTGTGATACAGACCTCGATCGTGGAAGTACTGGAAGTCACGCACGAGTACGTTTTTGATGAAGTCGAGGTCCAGGGCCAAAACAACCGGACTGGTGAAGAAGTACATCCCAGCGAAGGGATGGGTTCCTTTCAGTTGGTTGTAGAATCGGGCCATCAGCTGGGACGAATGGACGCGATCACCAACGGGCGTGATGCTGCCAAAGGGAAAACGTGGCTGGATGAACGGGACCGCATGGCGTTTCCAATAGGAATATTTTCTTCGAACGAAAAGCGTTAGAAGCACGGTGGTTGATATCAACAAGTAGATCCACATTTTTTTTTTGTGAACGAGTCAAATTGCATCTGTTACGATAGGAGACTAAAATGATTGTGAATGGATCAAGGAAATAGAAGATCAAGCTAATTTTTGGTAGAACAGTTAAGTGCTATCATGAATTCCGGTCAAATGAATGAGTTCATCAAAAAGAATTCACTCAAAATGCAACAGTGTGTGTGTGAAGCATCCCGTTTCATCGTATTAGTAATTTCAAGGCTTTTCGGCAGTATGTTTACAAACAAACGCATGACATAATAGCCGGCTTCTTATTGGATTTTCTCAATACCCAACCAAACGTCCCCGGCTGGTCCGTAGATCAAGTTAACCGGATCAGTTTTTAAAGGAACATCCGATTTCGAACACAATCGGAAGTGGAAGTTCTTCAACAGCATTGCAATGCCCATTCTCGTTTGTAGCAAACCGAATCGCATTCCAATGCAAACGCGAGGTCCCTCGCCGAATGGAAGATGACTGAAATTATGCCGCTTTTCTTTCTCCGCTTCGAAGAATCGTTCCGGGCGGAATTGCATTGGTTCAGGGAAAAGTTCAGGATCACGATGAAAGGCCAAGTTTGGAATGACAACACCGATACCCTCCGGAAGAACGGAACCATTTGGTAGTTTGTAAGGCTTTGTGGTCATTCTATGAATTGTCGCTACCGGAGGGTAGATCCTTAGGGTTTCTACAAAAAAAAAGTGATGACATGATCTAATTTAAACTGACTTTAGATGAACTCACCTTGGATTATGCAGTCGATGTAGTTCATCTCCAACAAAGCCTCGTACGAGAATTTCCCATCATGCCTTTCTAAAACCTCGGTCACACATTTCCTACCTTGCTCCTGCACTTCCTGGTTCGATGCCAGCAGATGCAGAGCAAATGTCATAGTAGTGGCAGACGTTTCAAATCCAGCAAAAAAGAATACAAACGCCTGAGCAGCAATCTCTTCGAACGTCAGCTTTTCCAAACGACCATTTCCCACTTCTTCGACCAACCCTTCACTGTCGCCTTCCATGTATCCCTTGTTTTTCAACTCTATCAGCAACTGCATAAAATCCTTCCTCTGAACACCGTTTTCCTCCCGATATCGAATCGTATCCCTTACGACTCCAAAGAAAAACTCCGAAACGTCTTCATCGTTGAACCTAATGCCCAACCATCTTGCCTGCTTCCGGAACATCATCGCAAAGAAGATCTTCAATGCCTTCAACTTCGGGAAATTTATCATCCTTTTTCCCATCTCTCGAAACTTTGAATTCGGATTCTCTAAACTATTACAATCGATTCCAAACGCACACGACCCAATGATGTCCGTCGTGAACCTCGCCAGCAGGTCCTTAATCTCCACCTCATCCTTCTTCGCTGTGTAATCATTTAGGAACGCATCAAAATGTTCCCCCACGGCCAGAATCGTATGAAACATCGCCTTGAGTTTCCCCGTCGTAAACGTCGGAGTTAGCTTCGCCCTCAGCTTCCTCCATCGATGGCCCTCCATGAAGAACAAGTTCGCCGACAATGGATCATCCTTCTCGTTGCTATACACACCTCGATCCATAAAGTAGTTGAAATCCTTCACCAGCACAGTTTTGGCAAATTCCGGTGACAGCACAACCAGCACTGGATCTCGAAAGAAATAGATCCCAGCATAGTCACCGTACTTCTTCAGCTGCCGGTACAAATCATCCATGATATGTGCAAAGTGAATCGTCGACTTGAGAGTGTCTCCTGCGTTTCCCACCGGAAACCGTGGCTCCAGATGCGGAACATTGTGCTCCTTCCAGAAGCGGTATCTCGTGCGGAAGTGCGTGTAGATCCATTTGAACAGCAGTACAATTGCGGCTAGGAGGAGCAGTAGAAAATGCATATCTTAACACTAGTAATATCACACAGACAATATGGTAACCTTTTTGACTTGAGACTAGCACTGGCACAGTCTGGCAGCAATCACTAATCGATTTCTTATCAAATAGCTTGCTATCTTGGGAAAGATGTGAACGAAACCGATTTCGACTAATGCGCTGTTTGAGGAATGGAGCAGAAACAGATTTGAACATGTTATTCGTACTTCAGGATTGTTTATATCGGTGATGACGATTGGCGTGGATAGATGCCACCAGTTGCACGGAAACGCTGCTGCCATCTGTTAAATGATGGCGGAACAGTTTTCCTCGAGGGGTTGTTAAATGGGTGTTCGAATTGGATCCAGTTTAGGGTCATGTACCCTACTGACAGATAAATCCATGCAAAGTGTCCTTTTTTTCTGTTGTTAATTATTTTGAAGTCATACCCTCACAAAAGACGCAAAACACACACATGCGGTGTGTGCGACAGTTGTAAGATAATTGATTAGTCATATCGAATCTCTTATATTCTGCAGCAGACAATTCATACTTATGGTACACAATCCCTGGCGCTGAAGTTTTATGTTGGAAATGCGAAATGTTCTTGAATCGAACAGGTTCTTCATCTGTGTTCATCTTGGGTGGTTTGTAGTAATTTTCCAGCTGTTTGAATCCCAAAAATTCGTTTTGGTCCATTTCGATGACCTGGAAGGGCACTCTCCGTTGAATGGACGATATAAAGACAGCTCAATCCCTCGGCGTCTCTATATTAGTAGTGCATCGCTTGTTTGCCTTCTCAATACAAGCATGGGCCGACTCCACCTCCATATGACTATGTCCGGATGTCCTAAATTTATGACAGATTGTCAGCTGTCGTTGTTCAGTGCTACATTTTTCGATAAAATGTGAGAACATGTTGTGATTTTGTCCTGTACAACGGTCGGAGTAGTAGTTCATTACCTTTACTCTTTGGTCGCTATTTGATAAATCCTTCAGGATACAAGATGCTATCTCTTGTGATCCTCTTCTCGCTTTCGATTCGTTCCACAAATAGCACTCAACTGAATTTTCACCATTCCAGGTAGTGTACACAGTCAGATTAAGGGTATACAACTCAGTCCGCATCGTGCTCTCTTGCCGTGCGGATCTATTTGCTTTTTGCTGCAGGAAGTGTTACTACTACCTAAAGCTACAACAAATTTAAACAGCACTTTTCAGTGCTCAACCTGTAAAAATTTTCTACCTTGTTCAACTCTTATTCCTCTTCGATCCTTGTTTGGACCCTTCCCGAGGTAATCCTTCTTGGATATCGATTTGGAAAATTCCTCTTCGATCCTTCAGATTCTTATAGTAATCTGCTTGGAAGTCGATTTGGATAAAAATTTACTGCCGCCATGGCGCCTAAACGCAAAAGAAAGGGGCAAACTCTTGACCCCCCTTCTGATGAAATTAATTTGAGTAATCAATTTGATTTGCTCACGGATGATGAGAATGATCCATCATCCAAGAAAAATTCTAGTAAACTTTCCCGGCTTAATGCCAAGAAGGAAAAGATTCCCCCTATTGTGATAACCACTACCGATTTCCATGCTCTTCGCATGGAACTTTTGAATTTCGTGAAAGTTAAGTTTTCACTACAAATTGGACGTCGGGGTGAATGCCGTGTATTGGCTGAAACCTTGGACGGATTTAAATGTCTTCTCAAGTATCTTACTGAGAAGAAGCACAAATTTTTTACTTACGACACCAAAACTGAACGTGTGTTCAAGGTTGTCATGAAAGGACTGCCCAGTGCTGAATCCCTGGATCAGATCAAAGATGAACTGGCAAAATTACTTGGAGTTGTGCCACTCCAAGTAATCAAAATGAAAATGAAATCCCGTCCTGGCGATTCGCGCAACGGGATTTCTAATGATTTTTATTTAGTTCACTTCAAGTCTAGTGAACTAAACAACCTTAAGGCCTTAGAAAAAGCTAGCCTTATGCTCCATGTCCGAGTGAAGTGGGAACACTTCAGGAAGACTGGAGGAAATTTCCAAAACCTCACCCAGTGCCGTAAGTGCCAGGGATGGGGTCACGGAACTAAAAATTGCTACATGCCAGCTAAATGCATGAATTGTGGTGATTCCTCTCACGCAAAGGACGACTGTCCTGTGAAGGAAGATCCTAAGAAATTTAAATGTTCAAATTGTAGTGAAAACCACAAATCCAATTTTTGGGAATGTAAGACTCTCAAAGCGATCCTACAATCTCGTTCTAACCGTCAGGTAGGAAACGCTCCACGTTTCCGACCAGGTACAAATTCCTCTGCTGTTAACAACGGTCAGCGAGGAACAAATTCTACATTCGTACCCGTAGGTACAAATATCTCCCCTGCTTCAAATGTTTCATCTGTACCTACTCCCCTCGCTGCTAACAATGTTCAGCGAGTTAATGGAGCTACCTATGCTGCTATTGCAGCGGGTAGAAATCAAAATACTAACCAACGTTCTAATGGAAATTTTGACAATTTTGACTTAGGAAGCATTACTGCCCCCAAAATGGAATTTTTACAGAATTCATTAATTGACATGATTTCTGATATGCTTAAATCTAACTCCATGTTTGATGCTATTCAAACTGGAGTAAAATTTGCAAATAATATTGTCATGACTTTAAAATTCAGTAATGGATTTTAAAGCATTAAATATTGTAAATTGGAATGCTCGATCTCTTAAAGATAATGAAGACGAGCTATTTAACTTTTTAAGAGTTCATAACGTGCATATTGCAGTTATAACTGAAACGTTCCTTAAACCTGCCCATAAGGTTAAGAAGGACGCAAATTACTTGATTTATAGAAATGATCGTCTTGATGGACCCTGTGGTGGCGTTGCCATCATTATTCATAGACGAATCAAACATAAAATTCTTTCTTCATTTGAAACCAAAGTTTTTGAAACTTTGGGGGTTTCTGTTGAAACAAAATTTGGACAACTTACGTTTATAGCTGCTTATTTGCCATTCCAATGCGTAGACCAGCAAAAGAATTTTCTCAAGGGTGACCTCCAGAAACTTACCCGTCATAGGTCTAAATTCTTCATTATTGGTGATTTTAATGCAAAACACCGCTCATGGAATAATGCTCAAAGCAATTCCAATGGTAATATTCTGTTTGATGATTGTTCTGCAGGTTATTACACTATTCAATATCCAAACAGCCCAACATGCTTTTCTTCTGCAAGAAATCCCTCCACTATTGATTTGGTCTTAACTGATTCATGTCAACTTTGTAGCCAATTGGTTACCCATGCTGACTTCGGTTCTGATCACCTTCCAGTAACTTTTGAAATATCCCAAGAAATAATTTGTAATCCCAACAGCTCTACTTTCAATTACCATAGAGCTGATTGGGAGCAGTATCGAACATTTATGGAATATAACTTCGATCCAAACATTCCTTTGCAAACCAAAGATGAAATTAATTATGCTCTTGAATCTCTGACTACTTCTATAGTTGAAGCAAGAGCTGCCTCAGTACCAAAATGCGAGGTTAAATTCGATTCAATTATAATAGACGATGATCTTCAGCTCTTGATCCGTCTTAAAAATGTCCGTAGGAGACAATATCAAAGAACACGCGATCCTGCCATGAAAGTTATCTGGCGGGATTTGCAAAAACAAATTAAAAAGCGATTCTCTGCCCTGAGGAACAAAACTTTTGAAAATAATATTTCTAAATTAGACCCGAGTTCCAAACCCTTTTGGAAACTCACAAAAATTTTGAAAAAACCTCAAAAGCCTATTCCAGCGCTTAAAGAAGGTGGTAAAATTTTGATCACAAATTTGGAAAAAGCTCAGAAACTTGCTAAGCAATTCGAGAGTTCCTATAATTTCAGTTTGGGTCTTACTAGTCCTATTGAGAATCAGGTTGCTCGGGATTTTCTGAATATTTTCTCTCGGGAAAATATTTTTGATGATTCCTGGGGGACTGATTTGGACGAAGTAAGGACTATAACTAAAAATTTTCAAAATATGAAAGCTCCAGGTGATGATGGAATTTTCTATATCCTCATCAAAAAACTCCCAGAGAGTACCTTGTCTTTCTTGGTAAAATTATTTAACAGATGTTTCCATTTGGCATACTTTCCTGATAAATGGAAAAATGCAAAAGTTGTTCCAATTTTGAAGCCGGATAAAAATCCAGCTGAAGCTTCTAGCTACCGTCCAATAAGTTTGCTTTCTTCAATAAGTAAACTTTTTGAAAAGATAATTTTGAATAGAATGATGCTTCACATCAATACGAACTCAATTTTTGCAGATGAGCAGTTTGGATTTCGCCATGGGCATTCAACTACTCATCAACTCTTAAGAGTTAACAATTTAATTCGTTCAAACAAATCTGAAGGCCACTCAACTGGAGTTGCTCTTCTAGACATAGAAAAAGCATTCGACAGTGTTTGGCATGAAGGTTTGATTGCTAAATTGAAAAAGTTTAATTTTCCACTTTATATTATGAAATTAGTTCAAAATTATTTAACTGACAGAACTCTTCAAGTAAATTATCAAAATTCCAAATCTAATCGACTACCTGTTAGGGCAGGAGTTCCTCAGGGTAGCATTCTTGGGCCTATATTGTATAACATTTTCACTTCGGACCTCCCTGATTTGCCTCAGGGTTGCCACAAATCTTTGTTCGCTGATGACACAGGCATTTCCGCTAAAGGAAGAAGTCTTCGTGTTATTTGCAGCAGACTTCAGAAAAGTTTAGATATTTTCTCTTCTTATTTACAAAAATGGAAGATTTCTCCCAACGCTTCCAAAACTCAACTTATAATATTTCCACATAAGCCTAGAGCTTCGTTTTTGAAACCTAGTAGTAGTCACATAGTCACTATGAACGGAGTTCCAATTTCCTGGTCAAACCAAGTGAAATATCTTGGATTAATACTTGACCAAAAATTAACTTTTAAAGATCACATTGAGGGCATTCAAGCCAAATGTAACAAATATATTAAATGTTTGTATCCTCTTATAAACAGGAAATCCAAACTTTGCCTGACGAATAAACTTCTAATATTTAAACAAGTTTTTAGACCGGCCATGCTTTACGCTGTACCAATATGGTCTAGTTGCTGCACTACCAGGAAAAAAGCACTTCAAAGGATTCAGAACAAAATTCTGAAAATGATTTTGAAGTT